AAAGTAAATATACTTCCAATTATTTTCTCTTTCTTTTCTCACCTTTCCATTCCTATACCCTTTCTTTCCTTTGCCCCTCTTCCCCAAAAGCCACTGTGTTAGGCAGCAAAGAATATTTAATGATATCCGTATCTCCCATCTTCGGCCCCCACACTGTGATATCTGTGTTGTGCTTTTATAATTCTCTATGTGCATTCCTTTGCTGAGAGAACAGAACACATTCTCCAAATGCATCTGTAAGACAACGAGTATTGTTGGTAGAGATGCACGGCAAGGTTCCCTGTGTTTGGCATAGGTGCTGTGTTGGAAGTTGTTGCTTCTTTTACTCTAAAGACCGTATTTAGATATCCTTGTCACCAGAAGTTTTAGAGACAGAACATGGGCCCTGGCAACTCTAATAAAGGAAAGCTTGAGTACTTGTCCACGATAGATCAATTAAACAGAAAAACCAAGAAAACAAAAACATGAAAAGCACGTAACACTATCCCTTTAATATGGCTGTATTACAAAGAGGCACAAAGAGTTCCAGGAAGCATCTTAAGTCCCAAGTCTATCCCCAGTGCCCCGAGATGAGATCAATGTTTAAGTGAAGAACTAAGGATATCACATCTAAACAGTCCAGGCAAGGTGTGGGTTCACCATTGACTCGTTATTATCTGGATTTCAGCCTCAACCTGTAAGGTAGTCGCTATTTGAGATTTCTTTCAGGGAAACAAGTTCCCCTCTGGTTGCTACTCTTTCTTTTTTACAGCATGAGATTCCTTTGGGAAATTCCCATTTCTTTCTGGATCCGGTGTTTCAATAGTCTCATAATCAGATTGAGAGACACAGGTGTCTCTTTAGAATACCTCCATGTCTTCCAGGTCAGTTATAACATGAAGAACAGGAAGCAGGCTTATAATCTGTATTTATCTATAAACAAGATGGTATAGTTTGGGGGAATGAATAAGACTCATACACCCAGATTATAGACAAACTATGGGGCAGAACAGCAAAAGGGAAAAGTGAGGAAAGCAGGAGTCTACATCACTCCCGGCTTTGCAGCTATCACCCAGTCTCTAGGTTGGCGATGAATGGTTTATCCTACACTATTCATCTTTATATTAATGATAACATCTTCTTCCTGGTCATTAAGCTTTCCTAGAGTTATTGCAACACTCCTGAACAGAGCCAACAAAATGTATTAGAGCTTTACCTCTACATTACAGGGTCTTCTCCTTTCGGGGTTATCTTTGTCCTTTGAAATCTAAACATTTTGCTCCTGAGTTAAGATGGAGGGGAATATTTCCTGTGCCTTGGGGTCATCAAGTCCTTAGCCTAATCTACATTTCAATTTTCATACAACTAGAACCTTCAAGATTCTTTCATGAGTTACACAAATTGATGTATGGCCCATTAGAAATCTGCCAAGTAGAAGCCAATCTGAAGTACAGCAAGCTTATAGATGTCTACCCACAAAATGAAATGAAATGAAAAAATGTTCTTTTTGTTCTTTTCTATTCTGGGAACTTGCCTTTGATTGTCACAGAGATGTTTATGTTTCTCTGTCCATGATACATTTAGTTCTCTGTCTTCTTACCAAGAAAACACAGTCATACCTGTTTGACCTTTGTGTCCAACAGCCGTTTGGCACAGCACCTCTAACTAAACAGACCTCTGGGAATCACTACACTGTACAAAACCCATCTTACCAGGTTTATTCTGTGAAAAGAGAGATAGCTATTGAAAACTTACAAGCTGAAGTCAGTATTTAATTGGTTCTGTTTTCGCTGTTGCTGCAAGAGATAGAGATAATTCAAAGGGGGTAAAGATGAGCTTGGAAGTCTTTACCAACATGGTAGCTATGCATTCACCATAATGTAGTAGTAAATATGATTTATGTAGCAAATCATAAAAAAGATAATATGGAAGAAATGTTATCATAAAAGACAATATATTTAACAGGTATTTAATATTATATGTAATATTAAATATATTTAACAATATATTTAATAGAAATAGTGCATAAATTACCTCCAAAATTTATTTAACTCTTCCAGGTGGCTTTTACAGATTAGAGAAATAAAGTGGAACAGGACCTTGTAATTAAAAGAAAACATTAAAAGGGGAATTTTAGTGTATATCTGCTTCTTTTGTTTTTGTACCACTGAGACTCTGCCAAGGACTTTAAGTTTTTGAAATAAGTCTAAGACATGGGATCAGTGTGTTAAAGCATTAACGTTATCAGAGCCCCCAGAAACCACACTAGCAGGATCAGCCCAATGCCAGCCCAGTTTAGAGCAGGATCCAGGCTTGACAGGACTACATAGCCAAACCTTGTTTCAATAAAGCCACACACACACACATGGACATGGACACGGACACGGACCCTAAAGGAAAAGGCTACTGTGTGATACATATCAGGGACAGACATACATGATTGAATTCATTAATCTCCAAAAGAAGAATATCTCTAGGGTGCAAGGGCACTTAGGGAATACTGTGAAGGTAAAGAGTCTTTAGACTACTCAGGACTCATTCAGAAGTCCAGAAACGTTACCAGTCTGCTCTTACAAACATTGTCTTGTTTGATGTGTTACATTCTGTCAGCCTGTTCGTGTATGACAAGTCATAGTGGATTAAAACATATAACCGAATTCAATACACATGTTTTTGAGTGCATTTGATACAACCAGGATTCTGACAACAGAGTTGCTGTCAGTTCAGAAGACTGGTGCTGATTCTTATTTGCAAATCCAAGGCATTATGACTTTGTAACACCTTCCTTTACTTTTGAACATTACTAGGTATCTTCTATGGGCAAATATTAAGGACAAACTGATGCACAAAAAAAAAAAAAAGAAAAAAAGATTCACTCTGCCCAAAGATGCCTTCCCCATAACTCCAGACAATGACTGAAGCTTCACTCGTCTCACGGTGTCCTACATGGCCCACATTAGTCAGAAAATGGCTGTTGATTATTCTGAAATACGATCAGCTATGAGATCACAGGGGAACTTTAATCTGAGCTGCCTTCCTACTCCAATTCAATAAAGGCCCATTTATTGTTCCTGAAAAATAATACAAAGTGTTTTCTCTAGTCTGTGCTGGCTTGGTTTAAGATTTGGATTAATATTTCATGCTTTTATGTTTGTCCCTTGGTTATTTTAAAAAAGAGAACACTGAATTCATTATTTTCATCAAGGAATTGTGTGTGTGGTGTGCAGCGGCCTTCATGTATACCAAGAAATCACTGACCCACTGTCAGGAAAACATGCTTTGGAAAGTGTTTTTCCAGAAATGGAGATGCATTTGCACAAATTGCTTCCCTTTTTCTCTTGGCGTCTCTTGTTAGCAGCAGAATGCATTTCATATGATAGCTGGAGGGGTTAAGATACACACCAAGGTCAAGGACCTCAACATAGCCATCTCGCATGCACAGGGATGAAACCTACAGCATTTGCCTCATTAGCTTCCTGTCCCCTCCTGAGTTAACCAGCCATAGGCAATTGGAGAACTCTGAAGGTTAATTCTTTCTGCCCATAGGTAGAGTTACAGCTCAGTGGACTAAGCCCTTAAAATGTTAACACTCCAACCAAGAAATTTTAAGTGGTAAAAATGGCAGGTAGTACAGAGAGGTTAAACACGTTGAAAATGAGTTTAAAGCAGACTTACCACCTCCCCCTGCCCCCAGCAGCTGCATAAAATAGTCTAAAACTTTTACAGAGGTTATAACTCGAAACATGTTTCAGCCATGTGATTGCCAGGAACTATTAAAATAAATAGCACAAATAGGGCAATTAAATATAGATACTAACAGCTTCAAAACCACAGCAGAGGAAACGAAGCAGCCTTGTTTTTCCATCTAAAAACACCCAGGTGACGTTATTTGGAAGGAGAGCACATGCTTGTTTTGAAAAGCTGTATATAGAAAAGACAAACAAAACTGACAAATTAAAATCATTTCTGACCACGGGGGAGTCCTTCCCTAAGCTAGTCAGAGAGCTGCAATGTGCCTGTTTAATCCCCTACAGACCAGTTTAGATAGGATACAACGAAGGACACAGCCAATCAGCCGCTATCTGGGTATCATGTCTCTGCTGGACACTGTGTAGGTCTCAGGTCAACCACTAAGAGGCACCCTTATCTCTTCTCCAGACTCCTGTGTCTGGATGGCACAGCATACTGTGAGAACTCAGGCAAGTCTTTCTGGTGACATCTCACATAGGAAATCATCACTGGCAGGACTGAGTTCAGTGCAGTAGTCAGGGTGCTCACGGTAAATGACAAATGAACCTCAGAGTGAGCTCGTCTGCCTGGAAAGAGCAAACCAGACAGTCATTTGCATAATTATAGATGAAGATAAAAAAGTCTTTGTCCATTAGCACTGAGGGTACTGGTAAGGATTTGGAACTTCAAAAAGGGCATGTTTAGATTTATTACGCATTGTCACATGTGCTCTTTGCTAGAAATTTTGAATGCTCTTTGCTAGAAATGTTGAATGTTTCTTTACTCCTTTCAATAGATAGTTGAAAAGCAAAAATAAAATATTCAGGAAGGACAGAATAAGAATTTCAAGTGAGGGGGCCCATCTAGGCAGGCTTGCCCATCATCATAGTCTTAATACACTGTTATTAGAAACAATGAAATAGTGGCCCCGGTTTGCAGTTCACAGGATATCTTGTGATTGATGAGTACAAGTGACTTCTTTAGAGAAGGCAAATTCTATTTGCAAGGAATAATTGTATAATGATATTATCAGTATAATTTAGGTGACAGTGGAATAAATCATTGTGAACAAAGAGTGTTTTACCTATTCTGGTTGCTTCTAGGATGCAGATGGGAAATATGTAGAGACCTTAGAATCATGTTACTAAAATGACTCCTTAAAGATCAAGAATGTGTCAGGATGTAGAGAAATGCTGCAGATATTCATGCGATGTAACCTTTCCAAACAGGTGTTGTTGCAAAGCACATTCTCGCATACAAATCCTAAACTTTTTATCCAATTTAATTTTCAGAACTTCTTTCAAATAGTTAGCAACCTTCTAGATGAAGAAAACAAGGAGAAGTGGGAAGATGCCCAGCAGGTAAGGTTGAGATTGTCTTAGAATTTATGATGAGGTTGACTAGATGCATAAAATACATGAAAAGCCTATAGTTTGATTCTCCAAGAGTATAAAAGTATTTTAGAAATGATTATCAGTGAAAACACATTAATTTTACAGAAACCAATTCATGTTTTAAAATCTCAGCCCATGGGAGGGATTTTGTGTGAATATATGAGGAGGGGGAGAAGGATGTTTATCTAATTTGCACCTTCAAGGAACTAATATATGACAGCTTTATACTTGAACACTAGACCTCTATCTGGTTTTAGATAATGGGAAAACAAGACAACCTAATTGCATATATCCCAATAGAAGTGCTCTGCTATTTGCTAATGAGAAAAACAATTGCAAGGAATTCAGGCTTCACAGAATCTGCCTCATGTGTACAGATGTGAATTCTTGTTCAGAAAAGAGTTGTGAGCATCAATCCCGTGCATAATCATGTTCAGATTATACTTACTGCTATGCTTTGTCGATCGTCAGGCTTCTTTAGTGACTTAGGTCCTTCAAAATTGTCCTGACCTGTCATCCTGTCCTAACTGTAAGACTTATTTGCCTACAATGCAAAAGGTGCTTTCCAGGGGGACAGAGGGGAAGTATAGTTTTTAAATTACCATGGGAATGTGATATAACTGAGCATGAAATTGCTTTAAGTTTATCTTTGACTCTGGTCAAAAAAAAAAATCCCAAGATTAAAAAACTCCAGAAAAACAGAATGAGCATTTACTGAAGCTCATATAAACTGTCCACATTCTTTCTCATTTCTAACCACATTTGAGGCCCTCAGAAGTGAAACATGCCTTTTATTCCAGCTATGATCGAAAATCCACAAATAGCACAGCATAGTCAGCCTCATTATCAGGGACCAACGCTGTGCTTTTGCCCAATGCCAGGGCAAAATCACCTTTTCGTGTAAAACCTTGGTCTGTCTTTTTCTGCTCCTTTGAATTATACACTTGTCCTTAGCCTTCGCCTAGAGGGCAGCATTGTTCCCTAACTGTAAGGAGGTGGTGTCTTCACACAGAATACAGCTGTTGTAGCAGAGCGTATCTTTCGAGAAAGCTATTAATTACAGGTATATTTAGAATGGATGTATAATTCTCTATTTAAAACCAGGCTGCAGTTCCTCACATGGTGTTCTTTAGCAGGAGGTCACAACTTGAGCAAGTAATGAATAGTATCATGCATTCTTATCAATGGAAAAATCATGAATCCATAATTTGTTGAGTTGTGATTTGAGATTGGTTCTCTTTTTTTTAATACATTTTTCAATTCAAATGATCCTTAATGATGTTTTAAAATGACAGTGTGAAATTTTAAAGGAAGCTATTTTGTAGCTTTCACTATGGTTATCATAATTACAGCCACATGGTAAACTTGAGTGGCACAAAAGGTGACTTCTTAAAAAAAAGGGGGGGCAGGGTTAAAATCAACCAAAAATAATCCTTCTGACCCCTCTTTATCTTAGAGAAGTAGACCTGCAAATAAATCTTTGCGTAAATGTAGAAAACTGAACAACTCTGTTATCAGAATCTTACAAACAGTATGTGCATTTCTGAAAAATACAGCCATCCAGAGCCCACTGGCTAGCCATCAATCCCAGTTAAAGAGATTTCAGTGGTATTTAGATAAAAAATCCTTACTGAAAATATAGCCTACTGAAGTGAAAGAGGAATGTATTTTATAAAAATGTACCACACACCCCATATACCCCTATACAAATACATACACACAGAGACACACACATACATAGACATTGTGGCAGGTGTTGACGGTAGATTTAAGTGATGTAAGTTTTGATTCTAAACTTTATATAAGGAAGTCCACTCTCATGTCTCTATCTCAGGAGGGTGCAAACTGCATCTGATTAACTAAATTCAGCTGGTGTCTATTATGTAAACAACATTGTTCATCACCTGCTACCAATAGCTGTTCTGCAGCGAGGAGAGAAGTGGCTTGTTTCACTAAAGTCCCTATCACCAGAAAACTGTGAAATACTTACCATAAGGCCCTTATCAAAACAGCTTGCCAATTCCATGCTCTATAATATTAGGAAAATAATAACTAAAACCTAGACCCTTGCCAACGTGAAAAGGCCTGCAACCATGATGGAAGACAATGAAGAGCTTCGTTCTGAACAAGCATGAAGTCAGAGGGCGCACGGATGACAGGCAGCCACATAGACTGGAGCCCTGCATCCTTTAGAGAGGCACAAGACACAGCACCACATATGTGTCTTCAGGCTAAACAGTTGCGTGTCCTGCGATAGGGACTTTCCCCGGCTTCTGTCATACACTCATCATCTTGGTAATTGCGCCATCTATCTTCTTGCTAATTGGCTTTCTCCAAAGGAAAATAAGCTTCTCTACCCTTCCAAATGCTATGCAATTTGGAACTGGGAGACAATTTTGAAACTTGAAGCCCAAGTTTCTGTGGCCATTGATTTAGGCACTGTACTCTCAAAAGACACAGAGGGACAGAAGCACCAACTACCAACTTCCCTGATGTTTTCATTTTAAGAAAGCGAGAAATTATTGGATCTCTAAGATGGCAGGAACTTTTCTTTTCAGTTTAGAAAGACTTGCCAAAGTTTCAAGGAGACTCTATGAGCCTTACTTACCATTACTAGTTTTCTAAAGCAAACACTTTAAGGAAGGGGAAGTAAAGGAAATGGAGGTGCTGTGTTCAAGAGTGAAAGTTAAGCCTCTTGTTTTTAATTTGCCTTCATCCCTCTGAGAAACAGGAAGTTCACACAGGGAAATAAACAGGACACAGTAGAATCAGGAAGTTTTCGAGCACATAGGAACGTCAGCCGTGACTGTCTAATGGGGATGATCACTTTAGAATTCCCATTTAATTAATAAATGTATAGGTGAGAAAAAGACTGACCTCCTAAACATTTCTGATGTTAAATACTGCAGTTTTCTGTGGAATATGTGTATATATAGGTGGATAAATTAATTTCATATATATGCCGTGTTTGATTTATAGAAGAAACAGTCATAGCCCTTTGCAAAATACACATATAGATTTACATCCTGTCCTGTTAATCCCCTTCCTAATCCACTTTGGGTGCCAGATGAAGATGGAAGTTACAAAATAAATCCCACACTAGCTCAGACTTGCATATAATAAAGGGCTATTCATTTAGGGGTAGACTCACAGATCATAGTCCTCTGCATGTGTGGGGCACAAGAACTGAATCCAGAAGCAGGTAGAGAGAGAGAGTGAGTATATGCTTTACTTCAACATTTATAGTATTATAAGAAGCCACGCCCAAGTGGGCTGGTATTTTAAAGGCTACTGGCTAAAGGAATTCCTACAGCACCTCACAGCTCTTGCCTTATGCTATCCAGGAAATGAGGTCTCTTCCTCTCCCACTCGGGAATTTATAAAATAAAGTAGCTGGAATTCGAAGCACATAATTTTCCCATTTAGATGCAGCAGTGATGCAAATGCTTACATGGGATAGAATGTATATATGTTCTTGGATGTCTTTGTTGTTACATACGCTAAGAGCTTTTGTCAGGTTATGGTATGGTTGAGAAAACCAGTCCTTTTGTGTGTGCGGTGCTGTTGGTGGGCATGCTCAAAGCGTGGGCCTAAGTTGACTTGCTATTAGGTAGATGCATAGGTAACTGGGTAGATAGGTGGAAAACACAGGTACAGAAGCACATAGATGACAGATGAGAGAAAAGACAGATTCTGCCTCCATTACTGTCCGACTTACATAATGACTTCAGCTACATTATTAGCCTCTTTGAGATTCTGTTTTTAGCCTACAATAAGTATAAAACTCTCATAGGTTTGTTTCCTTCAGGCACGCTTGTAAATTTTTTATATTATAGCTATGATTATAATCCTATAATTATTGCTATTGTTGTTCATATAATGACTAGTACAATTATTAGAAGTAAATATTTCTCACAAGGTATTGACTATCCAAAGATTTACTATTTTTAAATGTCTTCACGATAGCAGTAATACTTGTATTTTTCTTCTCATGTTCTCCATATAGATATTAAGCCAAAATCGCTAAATCCAATTTCAGTGTATTATTTTTAATCCAGGGGTTTTATGAAAAATAAAATGATGATATTCGTGTGTAGACAATCTACTAGACATTTTAAGTTTCCTTGAGCTTCTGGATAGATTAATTAGTGTATCATGTCACTTCCAAAGCTCTAGCTGTGTGACATCTGGTATCAGAATCAACTATTAATTTAAAAGCTAGCAGATGATTCCAGTTGTAAACATTTCTCCAAATAAAGCAGAACTCAATGGTGTTTTCATTATGTAAGGATATCTTGCTTTCTTGTTCTATATTTCTTTATGTGGACTTTTCATTTAGTATAACTTGCACTTATTTTTCCAGATTTATCCAGGCTCAATAGAGTTAATGCAGGTGATTGAAGATTTTATACACATTGTTGGATTGGGGATGATGGACTTTCAAAACTCATACCTAATGACTGGAAATGTAGGTAAGAAATAGGAGTATTACTGGAAATTTTACTGAAATTAAATGCCAGAGTTTGCAGCACACATTCTCAAATGTAATGTCTTTATTCAAGGCTTTAGGTGTATGTGGAGGAAGACATTGTGAAAATCCAATGGCTGTGTTTTAGGTAGACCAAGTCCCATGTACATTAAGTGTGTAGCTCTGTTTAAATACATATCATTACATCAGTTTCCTTAGGGAGAGATGAGGAAACATCTGCTCACCCAAGGTAGGGCACTAACTGCAGGACAAAGCAATATTATGTCACCTAAATCCAACCTGGGTAATCAATGTGTTTCCTATATCTACTTCTAAGAGCCTACATAAGGGATTACTTATAAGAGCCTGGCTAATCCAAAGGCTGCTGCCTCACTGAATGACCTACCCCTGTGTAAATGACAATTTACAAAAGCACCTTGCCTAGTTTCCTACCCAAAATGCACACAATTCCACCCAAAGGTCTTCTCTCTCCCAGTTGTTTACTAACCTGAAGGCAAGGCTTTTGTGTCTTGTAACTTTCTCAGCTTCCTGAGCTTTATAGCGGTTACATTAGCTACCGAAATCTTATGCGCTCCCTTGCTCGCTCCCTTCTCACCCTCCATGAGGGAATGTTTTAATGTGACACAAATGCCTACTTAAAATTTCTTCCCCTGCCTCTTACATTGCTTCTGTCCCCTCCTCCTTGATGTTGCTTGAAATCTGAAGAAGGTGATTTGGATGTCTAACCATTCTGGTATGCAACCAACATTCATCTCAATATCCATCATGGCTTATGGATACTGCTAGGAGTGAGATCTTCCCTCAGTGACCTCATGGCCCCTGTGAGTGACATTTTCCAACAATATAGTGCTTCTTTTTACAGACTCTTTCATTGTTGTCTTTACTGTTATTCTAAGATGTCCCAGATTTGTAAAACACTCAGAGGTTAGCATTATATTAATGAAATGATTTATAGAGTGTGGACAGGATTTCATATTGACTACTGACATTTTAAACAACTGTGAATGGATTTGTGGATTTGGAAGGAAGAAAGTAAAAAAGAAATTCTAGATCCAGTGAAGTATCACTTATTGTTTTATTGGAAGAACAATGTTAGACCCAGTGGTGTGGATGAGTTCACCATCCCATCTAGGCATCCATGATCCAAAGTCACTTTCCACTAACAAACCCTCAGCTTGATCACTCTGGGGCACAACTGTGTGGCTATGACATCTTTCTACCCATGATGGTCATGGTATGGATGGCTCATATTGCTTGACATACCTAAGGACTAAGGTGGAAAAAAGCTATGATCTAGGTTTTTCCTCCCATAGCTGGGCCTGTATTCTAGAGTCTGAGAGACTCTAGGCATTGCACCATGGCTTCAAACTGTCCATCTGCCACTAATGACAGCTAAACTGCCCCTTGAAAACATTCATATTAAGTATATTTTTTATTTGGAAACATCAGTTCAATTAAAATCTTGTTACATTTGTTTTTGAGTAACTTTGATAGGATCCATTGTCTGCTTCTCTTTTTATATCTTTACAAATTCCTTCATCACCCCCCAAGTGCTTTTGTGCCTTATAAACTCAGCTTATATGTGAGTTTAAATCATCCAGATATGCTAGAGCCCTCATCGTGATATTTAGAAAAATGTGAAGCATCATGCAAGTCTCAAGGGCACTGATGAAGTAATTTCTTTATTCTCCTAAGATCACATTTCTATCAAACTACGTGAGCTAGCCATCAAACCCCCCTGTAAAATGCACATTTTCCACACTAACTTTTTTTTTCCTGTAATCATTCAGTCCCTAGTTCTTTTGGTGATCTCAGTTGGCAATAGCTAACTGTCCCTAATGGCTTTTATGAGCTTGTCTATCAGGGCCTAATTTCCCCATACTGCCTTTGATTATTCAGCCTTTGTCTCAGGAAGGCATGAGTAGTTAGTTGAATTATTCAGTTTCTCTACTCCATGGCACTCTGACTGATCCCATCTGCAGCTATGTCTCACAACTATGTGAGCCAAACTCTAAAACCATTCATTTCTTGTTCAAAAGCCTTTCACAACCCAAACAATTACCATGGTTCCTTATACTGAACGATTAGTAAGACACACATCTGTGCATTAGATCATGAGTTTTCCTTTTTTGTATTAAAGGCCATAGTTAAGAAATATTTTCTATCACTTTTGTCTCCATCTCTATCTGAGTCTATCCAAGGTTCTATGTTTAGAGAGCCCACAAAGGACTTTTTAGTGCAGATGTAACTTCTACTTTTTTCCCTTACATATAGCTGGCTGCCGGAAACAGCAAGTCAACACTTCCATCTCGTTCTCTGTTCTCGATATTTTTCCCTCTGAACCAGAGACTACTGCAGAAGATAGTGTCTCCATGTGCACTTCCCATTTGCACTACCTTCCTTGTGTATACAAGTCCTTTGTAGGCAGAAACACGAGCCCAAGTTACAAATGTTATCACCCAGAGAAAGTGCTGTGCAGTTGCTACCACAGCCCACTAATAATCCCATCTCCTGTGTGCCATCTCCAGGGATTATGATATATTTTCTAGTTTGTAGGTCATTTAGAGGATACCCCATTCTTCAAATGAAAACCACAATTCTACAAGATAGCACCAGGGACTCTCCACATTTCAGGATTCTCTACTCTCAGGCGGCTCAGTATATGTATGCCAACCAAATGCAGTTGCATAGCAAGGGGCCCATACCTGTCACTACAGCAAGGAGACATATACCCCATATCATATGGGGCAAGGTAGCCATTTTGGAATTGTCCCCAAACATTTCAGTCCCAGGTACTGCTTTATCACCTAGTTTAGGAGCCATCCAACTGCTCTTCACAAAGGCATCTTTAAGTCTGTGAACCTTGTTCAGACTGCAGTTGTGTTACGCAGCTTTTCCTGAAAACATGTAAACAAATGTCTGTTGAATTGAGACAGGGCACCAATGACAGACTTAAAAAATATTCCATGGAAGTATGGCTTGATGAACTACCGTGTTTACTGGGCTTACTTACAAGAACATGGGTGAGTGGTTATTTGGTTATTTAGAGGATCATCAAAGGCACCTACATTACTGAGAAGCCCACCACATTGTGAATAAAACTCATGAAAATTCCATTTCTGGTATAGGAGGTCCTTCTGTCTATGTGTTGTTTTCATTGGTTAATAAAGGAACTGCTTTGGGTCTATAGAAGAACTGTGGGGGAACTGAGCTAGGCAGAGAAAACTAAACAGAATCCTGGGAGGAAAAAGACAGAGTGAGAGAGATGACATAGAGCTGCCAGAGACAGACACTGGGAATTTTACCGGGTAAGCCACTGCCACATGGCAGTACACAATTAATAGAAATGGGTTAAATTAATATAACAGTTAGCCAAATAAGAAGCTAGAGCTAATGGGCCAAACAGTGATTTAATTAATAGTTTCTGTGTGGTTATTTCGGGGTTAAGGTAGCCAGGCGGTGGGGATGAACAAGCGGGCCCTCCTCCTACACATTTCTGGAACTCTATCTAACATAAAGGTGCTCCAAGGGAGAATATACCTACCTGCAGCAGTTGTCTACTGCATATGTACCCTCATGCAGAGGCTTAACTTTCTGGATGTCCTGAGTCTTGTAAGGTTCTAAGCTTCTTTAGCCTTGTAGGTTTCATTGGCATCTCAAGTCTTATAACAACAGTCCCTCTCTCACCCAGGAGTGAATATTTCAGTAGAAATGAATCACACATTACATACTTATGAAGATATATATGCATACATACGTGGTTCCCTCTTCAGACACTTGTTTTAGTGTTCATAGGCTATCGTGGGTTTCTTCACACACTTCTGTAAAGCATGCTTATTTTTACATTTACCAAGCATTCCTTGCTATCTATCAAATATAATTTGAAATGTTAGACATCAATAATTTGGGGGAAATGAAGCTTCATTATCGTATATGCATTTTTCTAGGCTATTGAGTTGCAAAGTATCCTGAACATGTGTTAGATTTGTATGGAACATTACAGAATATTTCTAGGGGACACCTAGGTGTACTACTGTGGTGGTTTTTTCAAACACCTTCCAGGGCACAATGGATTGCTCAGATCTCTTTAATAGATTAAAAAATGGTAAGCACACACAAAAGTTGCTGCTACTGTAGCATTTCATGAGAGTCTGTAGAGGAACAACCCACACAAATAGTGTTTCCTACTGAGCTAACAATAATTGTATTGTGCAAATGGCATATTTCTCTTTGTAGATGAAAATTAGTAAGGAACAAAGAAATTGTCTTCTTGATTATTGCACAAATTGATTTCATGAAGATTTACAGTTTTATTATTTGCTTAAAGCTTCCTGTCTTAATTTTACTGTGATTAAGAAAGATTTTCTTTTATTCAGCGTGTTACAATTATCTTCACATAAAGGCAATGGAGTTCTGGATAAATCAGGGTTATTATTATTACTAATCTCAACACTTGTCTGTGGTGTTTGAGGCCTGTCTGTTTGATATAAAGATGTTTCAAAGATAAAATAATGAAATATATCACCAGATCAATATCAGACAGGTTTGGGGAATGTATTTTATTTTATTTTATTTTATTTTTTATTTTATTTTATTTTTTTTTTTTTTGGTTTTTCGAGACAGGGGTTCTCTGTGGTTTTGGAGCCTGTCTTGGAACTAGCTCTTGTAGACCAGGCTGGTCTCGAACTCATAGAGATCCGCCTGCCTCTGCCTCCCGAGTGCTGGGATTAAAGGCATGTGCCACCACCGCCCGGCGGGGGGAATGTATTTTAAAATTATATAAAGGAACCAAAACATATTTCAGAATCAATTATGTTTCAATTTTGGATTAACATATTTCAGAATAATAGCATATCAAATTACCTATAGAATTATTATTATTAGCTGCAGAGTATTTTGTCCATAACTAAAACATCATAAATATTTATTGCTTACCTTCATTTTAACTATTGTTGTATGTTTATTTTGTATAATTCATTTGCA